CCCGCAGCGGTCATGACCGCGGCCCCGCGGCCCCGACCGCGGGCCGCGGTCATGCCCGCGGTGACCGCGGCTGCTGGGGATACATAGGAACCAGTTGGGCATCCTCCCTCTTCCTCTTCTCTCATTCTTCTACCTGCTCTGATGGAAGATTGTACATTCTGTCGATCTTGTCTTCACGTTTGTGATCTCGCTCCCTGTATCCTCCTCCGCCTGACCTAGGATATCTCTGTCCATACCCACTTCCACCGATGTACCCACCTCCGCCATTATAGTTTCCGTTATAGCCTGCGTTGTAGCCGCCATAATTTCGAGCTTGCCCTCCTTGATACGGAAGAAGAGCCGTGGGCGTGCCACCACCGTTCACTAGTGGCGCTAAGATGCCATTACCGTCCCCTCCATTGGCGCCCGCTGAACCGTTGTCTCGTATCCTAGCCGCCATCTCTGCTCCGTTAGGCTGAAGTCGAAAAGGGCATTCTCCTATAAAGTGGTCGGGAAGGTGGCAGAAGTGACAGCCATTGCGAAAAGCCATACTACAAGGTGCGGACTAAGTCGTCCCACTAATCGTCGGGCAAGAGCCCTATCATCCAACACCGGGCACAGAAGAAGGAATACGTGTAGAATGAGGTAAGCAAAAGAAATGAGGGAAAAAGGGTGATACGGTGACGGTGATACGGTGATAGGTGAGGAACGCAGTCACACGAACGGGGTAAACATCCCCCGTCGGTTCGCTGTGTGTATGTCACAGAGGAGTAAAAAAGTGATGCAACAAGACGCCATGCACACAAGGAGCATAGGCAAAAAAATAAGAAGTGGGATGGAGAGGTGTAGAGAAGAAAAAAGAAGAAGAAGAAGAAAGGGGTGAAAGAAAAAGCAGAGAAGTAGACGAGAAGAAAGCAAAGTCCCCCGAGCGTGTCAGCTCGAAAAATTAAGCTGACGGGTAAAAATCGGCGCAAGCGCCATGCATGAAGTCCAGCTGAAGATGACCCTACACGTGTTTCTGTCGGTCCGTCAGCAAACCAGCCTTCCTCAGGGGTTGCGCTGGTAAAGAACAACGACTTAGATGCCTATATACTACCTAGTAACAGCAGAGTTCCTAAATCGGAGAAAAAAACAACCACCGAAAAGCGCCTTTGAGTCCAAAATAAGGAGAGAGTCGGACTCTTCCCATGGGACCGGGCCCACCTGGTGAAACAATTGACCCACTGAGTCCAGGCCCCCCCAAATCTTAACATTAAAATTGACGAGGGCCTTGTCAAAGAAAATATCCAGAAAGTTACGATGCCTCAGTTCAAATTTCAGGGAAAACAAAAAGGATGCTTCCGTCGCAGGCAATGTGCCCATGTCATAAGGGTTGTGTGTCGCAAACGTGGACACTATCCGCAACCCTTTCTCTTGCCTAAGCTGCACCGACCCGCAGTCCCCCATCGGCGTGCTGAAGGGACTTACAAGTTTTTGCAACACCAATCAGCCCGTGCCATTTGCGCCGCCATACCCTTGCTGTGCTCCACGAGCAGCGCAAGTTGGGATCCTGTGGAGAGTTGTGGAAGTGCACTGCAGCACAGTGACAACAAAGTGGGACCACCCCTGGTACATGGGGGGTGACTGGCATTGATTGCTTCCCGTTGGGGGTGGTACCAAACCGGTCGTCACGCACTGGAGACCTTGGTCGACATTTCAGGACTACACTTAGGACCGAGAAAAAAAAAAAAAAAAAAAATCCACCTTATTTTTCGCTTCGAAGTATGGGGTTGGCCTCTTCCGAAAATCGGAAGAACTGCCGCCCCTGCAATCATGCTCACGCCTCCACGTAGGAGACCGTTTCCACTTTCGCGACATTCAAGGACGGGATCGTACTTTCGTGGAAAGAAGTGCGAATCATCCCAATTTTTTCCTTTTTTTTATTTTTATTTTTTTTTATTTTTAAACAAGCTCCATCTATTGGTGGGGAGCAGCACCTGTTGGAAACCGGGTCCAGCGTCCCATAGATACAACCATATCCTCACAAATTGGCACAAACTGGGAACCGGGCCCAACGTCCCATAACGAGTACGTTCAGAAAACTCATCAGAAAATTTCATGAAAATGAGACTAGGAACCTACTAGAAAAAAATTGAGATACCTGAGCCATTTCTCGGCTTTGGCTCAGAGAAATTGGAGCTACTTCAGACATGTCTATGACAACTTCATGATTAATAAGCATAATTCAGAAACGACTCAGAAGAACCCCCATCAATCCACTTTACCTCACTCTGGCAAGACTGACTGCAGCGGAGCCACCATCTCTGCTGCTGCTATACCATGCTCCCATCCTACCAGCTAGCCCCCTCACTGGTAGGATGCGCGATAACCCACCATCTTCTCCCACTCACCTTATTCTCTTTTTGAGGTACCTAAGAACTTTTACCGTCGTTCAAGAAGCATGAGAATAGGCCACAGAGGTCCTACAATTGTTCCGAAAACCTCGAAATCCCACACAAACCCTTCCAACGTCCTCCAAAAACTGTCTTACTCCCTGCCGATCTCTTCTAGGTCTCACACCCCCACTTTCTGTTGGGTTACAGGGCAACACAACTCACCCTAGCTCCGACCAGCGTCGTCCCGGCAGCAACCCTTGGTTGTCCCGTGGGAAGCCCACCCCAAGACATCCCTTGATCTCTCTACCAGACCTCACGCTCCTGCATCGCAGGTTACAGGGCAACAACCCAGCACCGGTCAGCGTCGTTCTGGCATCGAACAGCCGTAGATCACTGAGTATAACAGCATCGAAGCCACCTAAGACGAGTTTAACTTAGTAGGGATCCCAGACTCCCCCCAGAGTCCTTAAAAACATTCCTAGGACCACTAAGCAACCAACTTTTTTTGGGGCATTCGAAAAACTTTAGAAAAATATGAGAGCGGGGGGCGAGACTAAAACTGCCTACTATCCTAGATTCCTCCTTTCAACAGACGGGGTGTCGGTCCAGGCTTTCAGTACTCGTACCAGAACTCACTTGATCTCATACCCCCTTCTGCTAGGGTAACAGGGCACCACAACCTTCCCGAGTACCGACCAACCTGGCTCTGACGGACAGGAAGTGCCTTCCTCCCTCGACAATGCCCTTAGCGGCGAGCCCCTAAGCAGGTTACAAGGTCAATACCCCGGCGCCAACTACGTCATACGATCTGGTTATGCCTTCCACCCTCGGCATAACTTCACAGGCCTCAAGCTCACCCTGGGTTACAGACCAGAGGCTCCAGCACCGGCCTGTGTCGTCCCAGCATCGTCCTTCTAACCTACTTACCCTAACAAATAACCTGTTTCTGTTGAAAATCCCCTTGTCGCCTTCCTTCCTTCACTTCTAGCTTCCCCCCCCCTTCGGCTCACTGTGTAGCCATCGAAGTCACTCCTTCCCGCAAAGAAAAAAATCCTAACACTCTGCTATAAGCAGCCACCCTCTTGCCTTTTCTCCCCAGTTGCCAGTACTGATCCGACCCTAAATTAGTCTGGCTAAGAGACGACAATCCCCCAATACCGCCTCCCCCCTCCAAGAATAACACCTCCCGCCTTGTGAAACCCTCACGGGGGGAGGCGCAAACCCTCAAGGAAAACCCCACAAATATACACAGCAAGCCATAATTATACCACTCAAGACCAAGATGTTGAGATTAGCAAACAGAAAAAGCCAATCCGAATCAAATTTACCACACGGTATACAACAGACCCGAGCAATCTTTGACCCGCGCAAGCTTTGACTAACGGGAAAGGACCAACCAATTCAAAATTTACCGCACGGTAATCAAGACCAAGAGGTTGAGATTGGTAGACGTAGGTTTTTTTTTGAAAAATACTTTAGAAGCCTACATTTAGGCATCGGAGATCAGAAACGAATTTGCGAAATCTGTCTGAAGCATCTTTTATAGTTTAAGCTTTTTGGTTTTTAAAGTGGTTTAAGAAATCTATCTAGGATGTTCATTTTTGGACTTACGAATATCAGAAATCAAGAAAACAATCCAGACCGTAGATAAGATCATTGTTTAAAGGAAGCTACTAAATGGCAAGGATGGTACTCATGGCTAGAAATTGCACAGAAAATCGCTGCGAATGATACCAGGAGATGTAAAAAAAAACGAAATACTATCACGTTGAAAATCAAACGAAAAAAATACAAACTCCTCCAGTCAACCAGCCTAGAAAAAACATTCGAGAATCATAAATCAAAACTCCCAAATTATTATCAATGGTAAAACAACAGAATTAAAAAGCTCGGTTATGAGGTCATTAAGAACAACTTCCTATCCCATCTTCCTCATCCCACTGCTTACCCCCCACCCTTCAAACCCTACCCGGGCTACCCCTACACCTTTGGGGAAGGAAGGACTCCCCTCCTCCCACTCTTATAAGGGGCGCAAGCGCCCCGCCCAGGGTTGGGACACCGCACGGATAGGCCATGTGAAGGTGCGCGGCAGCGATGGTGACCATCTCCTCTCTCAACCAGGCGCTTTGCGCACGCGCAGGTGACCAGAGGCGCTTGTCCACACCAAGTCACATGTTGATGTGGCAGAGTGGGCTAACTCCCGTTGGTTCTTTGCTTCTGTGAGTTCCACGTTCCGCTCCATTGCCGCTGCGTTTTTGCCCGTGGCATATGGCATGAGAGGCGTTGGCTTTGTCGACGCCTGTGGAGTACAGTGGAGTCAGCCCTTGGTAAACTGAAGTGCGAGTGCAGTGGCGACTGCAATCATAAGGAAGTTGGTGCGTCAACAAAATTAGGGCGCTGTTCGACATCGACAACGGGGCGTTGATCATCGTCGGCACCATCATCAACAGGTTGCGGTTTGACACCGGCATCATTCGTCATCATCATCAGGGTGTTGCTCGTCATCATCGCCATTATCACCGTCATCATCAACAGGGCGTGTTTCGGCAGCATCGTCACGGTAAGGGTTTGTCGTCAGCATCACACGTCATCGCATCATCAGGCGGCATCACCGTCATCATCATCAGGGTGCGGTTTGACACCATCATCATTCGTCATCATCATCAGGGTGCTGCTCGTCATCATCGTCATTATTACCGTCATCATCAACAGGGCGTGGTTCGGCAGCAGCATCACGGTAATGGTTCGTCATCAGCATCAGGCGTCATCACCATCGTCAGACGTCATCACCATCATCATCATCAGGGTGCTGCTCGTCACCAACATCAAGGTACGGGTGACGTTATTATCGGCGGTACTTATCATGATGATGATGATCATCATCTTGTCTTCATAGGGCGACATTGAGGTTGCTCGTCATCATCATCATCATTGTAATAACGTCAATATCATTGCCATCATCAATACCTTACCTTCATAAGGCGCTGTGGGCGAAGCTTGTTCGTCATAGGGCGCTGCTTACCCTTATCATCATCATCACTAGGATCATCATCACCCTTGTTCGTCATTTGCACCATCATCATCCTTTTGTCAACACAGGGCGCTGGGCGTTGTCGTCATCATCATCATCATCATCAGCAGCAGCAGCAGCAGCAACATAATCATCATCATCATTATCATCATCATCGA